AAACGACTGATATTAAATTATATATATATATATATATATATAAAACAAATGCATTTACTGAATGTCAAATAAAATAATAACCCCTTTTTTTCAATATTAAAAATGTATTAGAGAAATTCATTCAAGTTTTTAATGGGAGTGCCTTTGTTGGAATTTATTAATTACTGTAAAATGAGAATGTCATGGGCTTCAAGTGCATTCAGTTTACAATAATAATATCTGTTTACATTTTAAGGACAGTCATATAAAATAGAGTTTTAAATATGCATATAAGGTTGAAATAAATTATTCTATATATTTCCTTTTGCATGTTTTTCTAATAAAAATAATAATAAATAATTTTTTTGTAAATAAATATTTATAGTATATTACCATTTCTGTTAATCTTTTCTAAAAAGGACTCAAAATATTCTTTGTATATTAATTAATAATAGTTCAGAATTCTTGCACTCCGACAACCGCGCTTCTTATTGTCTTCTATATTATTGTTTGTCTTTGAGGAACCACATTTTACAATATCACAATCTTGTATTATAAAACATTCGAGCACAGGGCAAAACAACTGCATTTATATGAAACTTGAATGTAAGATAAAAAGTAGTTAATTTTTTATTATACCAAATAACTAAAATACGGAATGGCTCGAAACTATACAGAATCTCTAAGCAGCCAAAGATATTTAATGCGAAATAAGTTTAACAATTGCAGGGTTTTGATAGATCTAAACTCTAATATATGCATAATTTTATTTGAAAATTGTATATTTAAATGTAATTTTTATTTTACATGTGGACTTGGTATAATAGAAGATTAAATTATTTTAATTAGTAAAGACTGCCACTAAACTCTCAAAGAATTCGCTTAAAATATTCTAAAGCATAGTTGCAGTTAATCGGAAATATTATTTATAATATATACAATTAGAATTTTGTACCATTTTCATCTTAATTATTATTTCTTTCTAGTTGCCTTTAGTTGTACGTACACTTTATAATGGGGATAAGAGAAACATTTGTAAAATGTGTGTGTGTATGTGTGCGCATATATATATATATATATATATATATATATATATAGTATATAG